AAGAATTTCAAAATAGTTATGGTCCTCCTCATACAATTTTTATTTTTTTTTAGTTGTAGTTGGACACAAAACCTTAATTTTATTTATTTGTATTTATGTGATATTGAGGATCAAACCCATGTGCTAGGCAAGCACTCTACCATTGAGCCACAACTCCAGTCCCCTCATATAATTTTTATAGAGTAAATTTTTCACCATCAATGTAATTAAATGCAAATGATATGCTATCCAGCATATTATGAACACTAAAATTTTTTAAAAAACTGTTAAAACCTTATTTAAATATATCCAAACCATTATTCACTTAAAAAACATACGAACATAATCTCCCTTATCATTTTGAAAGGTTACATTATGCTTTTCCTTTTTGAATTCATGTTTCCTTTTTTTTTTTCTTTTTGGTACCAAACTACCCTTACAGAATGTTTTCAAATTTAATGTGCTTTTTTCAAATGTAGTATTTTTTAACTTATATTTTATATATATTTTATTTCTTAGATAATAAGACTTTAAGACTTTCAGTGTTAAAGAGTTTTCTTCCTTCTGGATTAAATTATTATAATTAGTAATTAACGAGTCTCAACAGCATAAATATATAATACTTTTTTGTGGAGGGAGGTACCAGGGATTGAACTCAGGGACACTCAACAACTGAGCCACATTCCCAGCCCTATTTTGTATTTTTGTTTTAGAGACAGGGTCCCACTGAGTTGCTTAGTGTCTCACTTTCGCTGAAGCTGGCTTTGAACTCTCAATCCTCCTGCCTCAGCCTCCTGAGCTGCTGGGATTACATACATTTTGATAATGAGTAAACTAAAAAGTAAATTTGTACAATATTAAGGGTATTTAACATATTTTTTAAAAAGTCCACCCTGAAACCTTATTAGTAAAGCCTATCAGTCCTCATAGTAAAACCAATAAGTCAAATTATATTTACTATCTTTCAGGAAAAATGTGACTTTGTGTTGCAAATCAAATAAATATACCAACATATGTTTTGAGTAACATTATGAAAACTATAAGAAATAAAAAGTGATCGAGATTATGGTTATTAATCCCAATGTGATTATTTTATTCATTTATGTTCCTTAAAAACAAGTCAATAAATAGGTTTCTCATTATTCTATTTCTCATTACTTAATAATAATGCAATGTAATTTGTAAACTATGATTCTAAGTTATTTATGCAGTAAGGTGTATGATAAACAATATTACAAGCCCTCAGTAAATATGTAAACATAAACAAAATAACAAAATTTAACTTTTAGAAATAATTAAATGTAACTAAGTACAAAAATAAGGCATATACTATTAATATTGTTAGTTATGATGACGATACTTTTTCTGGATATTTAATGAAATAGAATGATATATATTGCTAAAAACTAATTGCCAGATTTTACTCTTTAAAAATCTAAAATAGAAAATAGTAAACATGCAATTGAACTTATGATATAATTTGGTAAAGCATTTTTTCCTTCTCTTAAATTTTTCATTCTAATTTGTTATATATGACAGTAGAATACATTACAATTCATATTACACATATAGAGCACAATTTTTCATATCTCTGCTTGTATACAAAGTATATCCACACTATTCATGTCTTCATACATGTACTTAGGGTAATGATGTCCATCTCCTTCCACCATCTTTTTTATACCCCTATACCTATTCTTTTCCCTTCCCACTCCTTTGCCATAACTAGAGTTTGTCTAATCCTCCCATGCTCCCCCTCCCATTCCCACTATGAATCAGCCTCCTTATATCAGAGAAGACATTTGGCATTTGGTTTTGGGGGGATTAGCTAACTTCATTTAGCATTATCTCCTCCAATTCCGTCAATTTATTTACCTGCAAATGCCATGATTTTATTCTCTTTTATTGCTGAGTAATATTTCATTGTGTGTATATACTACAGGTTCTTTATCCATTCATCTAATGAAGGGCATCTAGGTTGGTTCGATAGTTTAGCTATTGTGAATCGTGCTGCTATAATCATTGATGTGGCTGTGTCCCTTTACTATGCTGTTTCTAAGTCCTTTGAGGAATGGGATAGCTGAGTCAAATGGTAGTTCCATTCCCAGTTTTCCAAGGAATCTCCGTACTGCTTTCCATATTGGCTGAACCAATTTGCAGTCCCACCACCAACATATGAGTGTGCCTTTTTCCTCACGTCCTTGCCAACACTTGTTGTTGTTGTTTGTGTTCTTAATAGCTGCCATTCTGACTGGAGTGAAATGAAATCTTAGAGTAGTTTTGATTTCCACTTCTCTAATTGCTACAGATGTTAAATAGTTTTCCTCATAGAAACAGAAAAAAGCAGTCATGAAATTCATCTGGAAAAATAAGAGACCCAGAATAGCTAATGCAATCCTTAGCAAGAAGAGTGAAGCAGGAGGCATCACTATACCAGAACTTAAACTATACTACAGAGCAACAATAAAAAAAACAGCATGGTATTGGCACTAAATGAGACTGGTAGACCAATGGTACAGAATAGAGATCACAGAGACTAAATTCACATAATTATAGTTATCTTACATTAGACAAAGGAGCCAAAAACATGAATTGGAGAAAAGATAGCCTCCTCAACAAATGGTTATGGGAAAACTGGAAATCCATATGTAACAAAATGAAATTAAACCCCTATCTCTCACCATGCACAAAACTCAACTCAAAGTGGATCAAGGACCTAGGAATTAAATCAAAGATATTGCACCTATTAGAAGAAAAAGTAGGCCCAAATCTGCATCATGTCGGATTAGGACCCAACTGCCTAAATAGGACTACTATAGCCCAAGAATTAAAACCAAGAATCAATAAATGGGATGGATTCAAACTAAAAAGTTTCTTCTCAGCAAAAGAAACAATCAGTGAGGTGAATAGAGAGCCTACATCTTGGGAGCAAATTTTTACCACTTGCACATCAGATAGAGCACTAATTTCAAGGGTATATAAAGAACTCAAAAAGCTAAACACCAAAAAAACCAAATAGCCCAATCAATAAATGGGCCAAGGAACTAAAAAGACACTTCTCAGAGATGGTAAAACATTTTTAACCATTTCACTGAATCGTAATGTACATGAATTTAAGAATGGGATTGGTCGATGTCACTTAAAACTTTCAACAACCCCAGAAAACATGCCAGTTCTGTTCTAAAAACTCAACTTCACTAATCCATATCATTTTGG